CCATTAAGGTAAAATATCTTTAAATTTATGCCAAAATCTTCGCTTTAATATCTGTATGTACATGCAAATTCATCCATACGTACATATATGTATGTATGTACATACACATGCATAAATATGGATATTATAAATAGATAGTAGTTGTTGTTGCTTTCACATGCTTTAGCCATTTATTCAATATTAATTCACATATCCTCGCCTCGGTAAAATATTGTCGTAAGCGTCATACGTACATGCGTAACATACGACAATCTTTTACCCAGGCGACGATATGTATAAGACTTTAGGCAAGCAAAATTTGCCAACGACCATACCACGCTGAATACATCGGTTCTCGTCCGATCACCGAAATTTAGCAGCGTCGGGCGCGGTTAGTACTTAGATGGGGGACCGCTTGGGAACACCGCGTGTTGTTGGCCTTCAAACAATTTTTTAAAAAAATTTTTTTTTGTAACATTTTATTTTATACTTTTTTCTTTTTATTTTATTTATTTTTTAATATTTTCAATTTCTGATTGAGAACATATCGCTCATTTACAAATGCTGAGTTAAGTACGCAGAAATTACCGCCACCTCTTTTCGTTTTTTTTTTTTTTAAGAAAATTTGATGCCTAATTTTACAGAACATTTAAAGTATAAGCCACTATTTTTTTTTTTAATTTTCAATAGCTAATATAGCTTTTACAGAACAATTTTTATGAAATCATTTTGTCGTATGTTACATTTTCCCATTAAACGATAGCGAGCTGTATCACATACGCAAATCATACACGCAGCAAGTAAGCAAAAGGTAGAAATTGTTGAAAAAAAAAAATTTTATTACACGTCAGAAATAAGTGAATGAATAAAAATCAACAAATAATTCAACAATTTATGCCATAGCACATACGACTATCTGTTGTGTAGGATTGGTGTGATTTTATCGTATGTTTCATACAATTTGTCATACAAGACAATCTTTTGAGAGGTAATAAAATTCATCAAACTGAATAAAAATTTGTCGTATGTAGATTAAATTTCTCGTCACATGCAGCAAAATGTTGACCAGGCAAACTTGAAAATACGACCAATTTTTACTGAATATCTTAGAGAATAATTGAGATATAGGAAAAATTATAACACCAATCGAAAAATATTAGTTTATAATATAAAACTGCGTTTTGAATGAACAATCCGTTAAAATGGCGCTTACGACAAACTTTTACCCAGGTAACGATGTGTATTTATCTTTTTATATTAATTTATAATCGCTTAAATTCATTTCAGTAAGTATCATATAAAATGATAATGCTCGATCTTAACTAATATGTTGACTTTATTCATGCAATGAATGGAAGCCACATAGAATTGTACCTGTGATATCATTGAGATATTTGAAAAATTATTTCAGACATAATATTTTATTAAATATTTCATATAAAACATTTAATCGATAGATAATTTGATATATTTTAAGTTTCTAATAAAATTAGTCGCCTCATTTTTAAGACTTTACAAAAAACTTACTTTAATTGGCGAAATTGTGATTTTTCGATTACAAAGTTTGGATTAAAATACCAGCTACAACAAAGATATTCATGTTATTTCAATTTACGTTATATTTTATTGAAACAACATATTTAAGCTATCGTTATGTATCAAATTTTAATTCATAAATTCCTTACATGATTTTTAATTAATTTAATTCATCTCAAAATTTCTCATACACAAATGCCAAATAGTACTGAATCCTACAAATTTTTAACTCATCTCTTCGCCTCGCTTCTCACAATTTTTATGGACTAACACTTTTAATAATAGTTACGTGTTTGAAAAAATAAACAAATTTCATATCAGTGCGCTATAGTGCCCAAATAAATAAATAAATAAAAATTTTGTGTTATTAAATAAAGAAAAACAAGAATTTTTAAAAATGTCTGATTCAGCTGCTGTTGCTAATGTTAGTTCTCCGGTGGCCGCTTCTGCGACTGTCGCTGAAAAGAAAGTTGCTGCTAACAAGGCAGCTAAACCCAAAAAACCATCGGCTGCTCCCACCCATCCACCAACTCAACAAATGGTCGACGCATCCATTAAGAGTTTAAAGGAACGTGGCGGCTCATCACTTTTGGCAATTAAGAAATACATTAATGCCACATATAAGTGCGATGCTCAAAAATTGGCACCATTCATCAAGCGTTATTTGAAATCTGCCGTTTCCAGTGGAAAATTGATTCAAACCGAAGGAAAAGGTGCGTCTGGTTCATTCAAATTATCAGCTTCGGTCTCAAAATCCAGTGAGGGAAACGTAAAGCCAAAAGCAGAGAAGGCCAAGGCCAAAAAGAAGACGGCTACTGGTGCAGCATCAAAGAAAAAGGCGGTAAGTGGTGCGAAAAAGGCGGCTGGTGAGAAAAAGGTGAAGAAAGCCGTCGCTAGCAAGAAAACAGCTGAAAAGAAGAAAAGTGAAAAAGCCAAGGCGAAAGATGCAAAAAAGACTGGTGCAGTGAAAGCAAAGCCAGCCAAAGCTAAATCGGCTGCCGCCAAACCAAAGGCAGCAAAAGCAAAATCGGCCGCTGCCAAGCCAAAGAAAGCTGCCGCTAGTAAAAAACCAGCTGCAAAAAAAGCAACAGCTGCTAAGAAGTAAATTTGTTTACGGAATCCATATTCTCGAAACAAACTTAAAAAGCCCTTTTCAGGGCTACAAAATCTATTGGCAAAAAGATCAAAAAAATACTTTGTTTAATTTTAGTTTTGAAAATTCCAACGCACTAAAACTCGTATGCGTATCTGAAAATTTAAGATTTTTGAAAATTCCAACGCACTAAAACTCGTATGCGTCGCTTCTTTAAAAAAAAAAAAAAATGCCATTTTACATTTCATCATTTGTACACGTTTCTTTTAACATTTCGGATGCTTGCTGGAATGGAATGCATTTAGCTGGTCGTTATGGATCTACTTTGTGTACTGTACATTTAGAAATTCATAGCACTTTTTCCTTACGTAAATTGAATTAAATTTTTTCCTTACTTAAATTGAATTTCATACATACATACATACATTTGATTTGCCCTTATATACAGAAATTTTATATCTCTTTAATTAATATGTTGTGGCCCTGAGAAGGGCCGATTTCTTTGTTTCACTGCATCTTGGTTAGACAAATTATTTAGAGCTTGTATATTTGGTGACAGCCTTGGTACCTTCACTGACGGCGTGCTTGGCCAATTCACCAGGTAAAAGTAGACGTACGGCAGTCTGAATTTCGCGACTGGTAATGGTTGAACGTTTGTTGTAGTGGGCTAAACGTGATGCCTCAGCAGCAATACGCTCAAAGATATCATTCACAAAACTGTTCATGATGCTCATGGCCTTCGACGAAATGCCGGTATCAGGATGTACTTGCTTCAAAACTTTGTAGATGTAGATGGCATAGCTTTCCTTCCTCTTGCGCTTCTTCTTCTTGTCATTTTTGGTGATATTCTTCTGAGCCTTGCCGGCTTTCTTCGCTGCTTTTCCACTAGTTTTAGGCGGCATTTTTCAAATCACTTCACTTCACTTTTGAGTCACTCTATAACAACGTTTGAAATGTGTACACTTAAGTACATTTTTTCCGACAATACATTCAGGCAAACGCAACGAATCGACGCAAAAGGCAAACACGAATTCGAATACATAGAAAAGGGGATGAATGACAACCAAATGAAAAAGTATATAAGCAGCGCATATTGATAGTCCTAACATATACTGCTTGTGAGCATACTGTGAAGTGTTTTATTAGTGAAGTGAAAAGTGAAAGAAAAATAACCAAAAATGTCTGGTCGTGGTAAAGGTGGCAAAGTTAAGGGAAAGGCAAAGTCTCGTTCTAACCGTGCTGGTCTTCAATTTCCCGTCGGTCGTATTCATCGCTTGTTGCGCAAAGGCAACTATGCTGAACGTGTTGGTGCCGGCGCTCCAGTTTATTTAGCTGCTGTTATGGAATATTTGGCGGCTGAAGTACTTGAATTGGC